AGTTCTGAACTTGTAGTATAAGTAATATGATAAAATTAAAATTCAGGGGGGGCTGTGGTAGATTCTATTACAAATGAATTGATGAAGTATGATGGTGGCTCCAAGGTTAAGGGAACTTCGTGGGGGAAACTGCAGAAGCCCCCAGTCGAATACTGTGATAGTATATTCTACCTCTGTTAGGCATTTGATCAGTGTCAGGTATTATTATTTGAACTGGATTCTAAAGAATAAGCAACATTTCAATAAGTGTTTCCTTTGTTTTTCATCTCCGAATCTCTTAAATGTTCTGATTCTCATTGGCACTCTTCAGAGCAGCAGTTCTTAACCTGTGGGTCGAGACCCACAGGAACTGTATTAAAGGGTCGCAGCATTAGGATGGTTGAGAACCACTGCTTCAGAGTGTTTTTCTAATGTATTTATTTTTGTCAGGGTGCCTTGCTCGAATGCCAGGTAGTCTAGGCAAAGTGCCATCAGAGGAGAAGCTTCTGATGGAGCAAGCGAGTAATACCATGGGGAGGGGAGCCTGGGGTGCAGTGGGAACCAGAGGGTGGAAGGGTGGTGACCCCGAGGAAGGAATGTGGGAGTGTAGAGACCCAGGACTGGGGACAAGGGTTCCCCACTGACTCTTATATTATTGTTCTGTTATGAAATGTGTGCAGCTCCTCCCATTGGACCAGTGAGAAAGCTAAGGGTCATGGTGTTAGAGTTGGTTTTCAAAGGTGAGACCGTCTGCAATGGTTAGCATTGAGATGTGAGCCCATGGCATTAAATGTTGCTCAGAAACTCCAAACTTGGTAAAGTAGTTGTTATGATCCTGTGTTGTTCTGATTGAGGTTAGTGAGGCTCAGTATTTTACTCAAGGCCTGTCTAGTGCATGGAAGAGTTGAAAAGGGGGAGGTATATTCAGAGCTCATGTTCTGACTTACCTAGGGAGCCCACACTGTGGGTGTTCTCACAGGAGGCTCTGGCACATGCCCTTGAATTAGGCATAGCAGGGTGGGTGCAATTTGGAATTGTAGAGCAGTGTTGGGGAGACTTAATGCATATAGAATATATGAGGCAAGGTACAGAAGAAACTAAAGCAATGAGTGTATTCAGATAAGAAAGAATAGTTCAGTTTGCCTGGAGTGATGAATGTGTGAAGTGGTATAGAGGGAAATTGGTTTGAAAAATTAGGTCAGAGCTGACTTGCCTACGACTCAGTTACTAGTTGAAGAATTTGAACCCTTTTCATGCATATGTTGAGAAATCATTGATGGTTTGGGGGCCTGTGAAGGGGTGATTTTTTTTTTTTAAACACCAAACTTAAATTTTGTCTTTAGTTATATATTTGCATAAACTAAATCTGTTTCTGGATTCTTTCTTTCTTTCTTTTTTAAACAAAACCTTGGATAGTGATGATGTTTCTAGATTCTTTAAAAGATATGGCTAAGGAAAGTTAAGATTCAGTATTTAAAAAAAACCCAAATCTCAATTTACTGTTTAGGAAAGATCATTAAATGTAGTAGTTGTTTGTTTTATGGACTACAATTCTGATAGTATAAGTTTTTGGAATCTTATCAACTCAGTTCATGGCTGTGAGATGACTGGACACATTGTATTGTCATGAATCCGTTTGAAACAATGGCCTTTCCGCAACTTACTCTTTTCACACACAGCCACTAATTCTGCCACAGATGGAGGTCATTTATGGATTTATTTCAGATCCAGACTCTTGCATAGGGAGTCCTTCCCATGGACAGTAAAATGCTGGCCAGAGCATTTAGATGAGACGCCTCGTAGCCTTCCCTTGGCCGGCTTCCTTAGCACCAGAAAAGAGCCAGCTCTGGCCACACTTTCTGGTGGCCTCTGTCCCTGTATTCTTGCCCAGAATTTCCCAAAGGATCCTGGTGAATCTTTAGCCATCTAGATTATTTATAATAGTGTAGCCATCATACTGTTGCTTGGAGAAGATTATACCATTATACTTCTTAATAAAAATTTTCCCATTTATCAGTGTCGATGTGAGGAGGAAATTTGTTCAAAACTAGTTAGGACTGATTGATTGTGAAGCACATTTTCAAGAGGTGGAGCTGTAGAAGTTTGTTTAAGATTCCTGCAGTCGAGTGCAGTCTTCCATCAACATTGCCTCTCCGTGGCTGAGTATAGTGCCTGGGACATAGCACATGAACCCTGGATGGATCTTGGATCATCTTTCATATGGAGTAGCTATTGTAGTTGATGGACAAACTGGTTGTTAATTAAGACTCCTTTCCCCCGGTTAGTGAGTGATAAAGGATTTTAAAGTGCTTTTAGCTATAGTGCTTCGAAATGTTAATGATACTTTAAAATTCTTCTTAGATACAACAAACAAATAGATGAGAAATAACTAAAAATATATAAAGTCCTATGGGTTAATTAAAAAAAAAAAAATCCAGAACATTTAGTGTTAACATTCTCTTCCTTTTGCTACAGAAAGGGTCACTAAATTAACATACCTCCTTTCTAGCCAAGATTTAATTTACTTGACTCAGCCTAGAGTAAAGATGGAGGTAGAAGGTTTGCTGAAGTGTGGAACAGTAACGAAATCCCCCCTCCTTGGCAACTTGGAATTTATTTTTCTAATTCTAGTAATTAGTTATGAAAAACATTATTTTGTTAACATTTAATGAAGACGTTGAAATAAATGGAGAAGTTTTATGTGAATATTAATTTTAACTGAGAGGGCAATAAGGAAATATAAAGACAAAGGAATTATTTAGAGATTTGATTGCCGTGAAAGAGCCTATTTTCTGTTAATTCTTAGATTTTCTTGAAGATAATATATGCATGGTGGATAATGAGATTATAGCAATATCCTTAGAATCTTCCATACATCATTCATGTTGGAACCAGTTTGTGCTTTCCAGGTCTTGTGTTCAAAAAGTCCTAAAGTTTTGGTTTTTATACTATACGAAATTAGAAGATATCACAGTGTTATTCTCTCTCAGGAAATATTTATCTGCTCGCAATTCAACTCTATAATTTTGCCGTCTACTGTCCACTGTGAAGGACGTAATTGTTGAATTATATAGAAGACCTTAGTGGTATTTTTGGTACTGTGTTTTGCATTTTTTAATAAAAGTTTTTTGGGCTAATCACTATGTAAGTTTTAGAAACTGGTGAAATTTAGTCATTGGTAAAGAATTTCACCTTTTTATACTTTTGGGGAGTTCCTTGTGATCCTGCTGATGGGTTTTTGAATAAATATGAAGTGAAATGTTTCCAAATGGAAGCCATTTACCTCTGCCAGAAGCAGAGGATGCTACCGATATTTAACATACTTCAGATGACTTGTGCAGTACGACCTCTGGCAAGCCGTCAAATTCAGAGGATGCCAAAACAATGTATACATATTTAAGAAAGAAAAAAACTGTCTTAATGTATACTCAAGTCATGTTTGACTCTGCAGTTACAAGAAGTGCTCACCGTGACTTGTAGTCATCTTTTGTTGTCAGTATGTGTTGAATATTACAATTTAAATACAGTTTTTTCTTTTCTTAAAAATGTATATACATTTATTTTGCCACCCACTGTATGCCTGCAGAGGAACCTTTTGATGAAACCCTCTGTCATGACCGAATGCTTTTCCTTGTTCCTTATGAGATGGTTGTGCTAAACAGGTTAAGCAGAATAACTTCTACTATGTAGAGTTAAGACTGGAAGACCCAGTTGAACTTAAAATATTAAATGGCATGCATGTATGTGTATATATAATGCACACACACCTGTAGCCATAGTTGCAACTGGCTTTTTCTGAAGTCAGGAGAGTGAACTCCCTTTATAACACAGGTGCCACTCTCTCCCCCAGGGATCTGCTCTCAGCCTCTTGTTGCTGAGAATAACTTGCCTGGGAATCCCCATCTGCACAGGTGTATGGAGCGTATTGCTTGGCACCTGCCTAGGTAAATGGGAGAGGAGCCTCCAGTCACACACATTATCTCTTAGGAGATAAACAATGTGTGAGGTCCGAAGGGTCTCAGACGTGTTTTTCTTCCGTTATCAGTTTCTGTCCAGGCAGTCCTGTTACAGTCATTAAAATGAAAGCAGAACAAGACATTAGTGAACGTTAGGGGTCATTAAGTGTTAGAACATTCCACTTTTTATGTTCAGGTACTCTGAACCATGAAGTCTCTTCTCTCTGTATACAAAGTCTGACAGTTGAGTTCTCGAACTCATCCTAGAAAAAGTGCTGCATGCTTCACTGGGAGCAATCACTGTGGTCACCTTCAGAGTGCTCCTTGGGAGGCTCTTCACTGATGCCAGTGCACATTTTACCCTTCACAGCAGTTTTGGAATTCTTTTTCTGGACTGGCCACCAGAGCTGTCGTCATATAACCCTTGATGTCCTGAGTTGTCGTTAAAATGTTTTCTCTTCATTATTTCCTTTATCTTCAGGTAAAGAAAGTCATTGGGGGCCAGATCAAGTGAGTAGGGAGGGTGTTCCAGTACAGTTGTTTGTTTACTGGCTAAAACTCCCTCCCAGACAGTGCTGTGTGAGCTGGTGCAGTGTTGTGATGCAAGAGCCACACCTTTCTTGTGCTAAGATTTTCAGTTAGGATTTTCTTAACTGTTTCTCTATCAGTGTTTACTTGGCGTCCTGACAGGGTTGGCTCACAAATCAATGAATTTTTGCAGTGTTGTCTTCGGTTCTGCTGTTATTGGCTGCCCCGACCTTCCTTCATCAGGGTTGCCTTCTCTCCCCTCAATAAGATGTTTAATCCATTTGTACTTCATGGCATTATCCCCATAAACTTGACTAACATGTCCCTCATTTCACTTCCTCGTTTGCCAAGTTTAACAAGAAATTTATGTATGTTTGTTCATCGCCGTAATTCAAGTTCCAACATTCTTGTGATAGCAAACAAAAACATACTAATGAACGCCACTCAACAGGATACCGCCACACATGACCACGAACACAGCTGTGAGACACTGACATACCAATGTCACTGAGCCTCAGCGAGTGGTTCTACAGTGCTGCCAACATAAGCACACGGTGGCGAGTTCACAACTTAATTGTCAGGCCTTCGTACTTAGCAAGTGCATTAGTCAATTCCTGTTCTTGAAAGTAATACCCACTGCCGCCTCTTTGGTGCCCAAAGCCTTTAAAACAGCGCAGAGCTATAGCCCTTCTCCCCTCTCTGTGGACACAAAGAATGACTCATTTACTTCAGTGGGATCAGTATAAATTTCTCAATCAAATTAGCATTCATTCTGAAAATGAAAAAGTTTTCCATTTTGTACTTTTCTTTGGGGTTTTAGGATAATGTTTTTGAAATCAGAGCCACTTCAGAAGAAAAAGGTAAAAAGTTCCCACATTCTCCTAATTCATGGTTCTTAGAACAGGGAATGAATAACTATCAAATTTTTCAATGCCTGGGACTAGTTCCCATCCACTGTTCCCAGGTTGGTATTTCTTTTGCTCATTCTGGGAGGTTGGATGTGATTTATTTTCTGCAAATACAGTGGTCAGTGTTCTGAAAGTGACTGTGAGAAACAAGACTGACCCTTTCCCCCTCGGTCCCTGGAGAGTGGTGTTGACATTAGGCATCTCTGAGCCAAGCTCAGGAGGTGTATTCTGTTCAGCCCTTGTTTGCACTGAGAACATAGTTGGACTCTAAAGACTTTGCCCCCTCCGTGCTGTTGAGCAGGAGTTTCTGTGCTACGTGAAGGAATCATGAGCCATACTCTGATCTTTGGAAGATTAGAAAGAAGCTGGTGATGTGCTCCTTGCCTGGTGTGGGAGCTCTTGGCACTTGCTCTGTGCGTGTAAGAGCCAGACCCTAAACATGAAAGAATTCCTCCAGCCCCAGGACCAGGTAGCTTCCAGAGTTAGAAGGCCGAGTGAAAGTTAAGAGATGCCAAGTTTAAGTAAAAAATATTTGTGATCTGAACTTTAAAAATGGATGTATATTTTATTTGGAGAGAGAAAATGTATTTGTATAAAATACTGCGGTAAATGGAAGACAACGTTACTTCATGGACAGTTTTTACTTATCTTGAGGTTAGAAAAAAACCTATTTCTTAAGCTCAGGATTTTCTAATGCCATAAAAGGAGAGAGAAGGACAAGCAGAGAAACTGTTCTTTCAAAATTATGACCTCCTTCCTATTCCCTGATATGTCCGTATCTCAGTTGTCGAAGACCTTGATGAGACTCTAGGATTAGAATCAAAATGCAGCATTTTCCTTTGGAGGGGTATTTGTTGATGAATGTCTATTCCATATATTAAGGAAGATAAGCAGTTTTCTCCTATTTCTTCTTGTATTGAGGTGAGAGAAGTTACCATCTAGAGCTGAAACGTAGTCTTGCTGACCTGTACTGTTTCTTCCTGAAGAATTTCATTTGGAAACAGAGTCTGACGTTAGCCTGGCAGAATCTGTCTGCACTCAGATGAGAATGGGCGACTTGATTGGACAGTCTCCAATTACTTGTACTGGTGGTTGACTATGAAGTGCCCGTGTACCCTGTAGAGATGTGCATTTGGTATTATATTGCTTAGAATAATTGTCTCTTACTTAAACATAAGACATTCTGATTAGTGTAAACATTTCCATTTGTTGATTATAACAGTTGGAAGACAGATATTTCTTACCTGAATTACTGTTGCAAAATACGCCTTCTCTCCCGGTTATTGGAGTAGTTGTACCAAAGAGTAAGTAACATAAATATTAGATAACTTAACGGAATTGTCAGATATAACCAATTCAGTTTTCATGTCTATTCTTAAAGGATTGGTTTTTGCCAACTAGGTAATTAATAGAGGCTAATTTTAGCTAATTTGGAAAATAGGGACAAAAAAGAAATCATGCTCATTTACATTTCTAATAATATTTTCTAAACGTTTCTATTCTTTTTTTATGTCCCCATGTATTTTCTAAAAACAATAGGAAACCTATTTTATATGTTTTGTATTCGGCTGTGTCTAGCAAACTTACGAATATTTTCCATCTCATTGAAAGAATTTTTGGAAATAACCATTTTCCATTGCTCAGTACTTTATCCTGTTGCATTTTAATTTGTCTAATCTCTTATTACAAGTAGATCTTCAATAGCTTTTCTTTGTATGTTCATCTTTACATGAATGCTTGGTTATTAGAACAAGAATTACTGAATCAGGATGTTTGAATGGCACTTTTGTGGTCGCAAATCCTTCATGTGACACATTAAGGGGTGAAACCATTGTGTTTTCTTTCTCTCCTCTTGGCAAATCATATTTGAAAATGTAGTACGTTGCCAACTGGTGAATTAAGTAGATCTTGCAGAAAGAAAGAGATGGCCTCTATTCAGAAAATCTCATAGGACAGGAGTCATCTTTTTGCTGTCTGTGATCTTAAATCACTGACCAAAAAGATTTAAACAGTGCCAGAGGCACTTGGGTCTGTGTTTAAAGGTGTAGCAGCCTGAGTTGGAAACTGCCTTCTGTTAACTTTTGCATTAGTATCATAATGAAAGGAAACTTTGCAGGACATAATAAAGAATAAAGCTTGAAAATCACTTTACTGAAATGTTCATAACCTAAATAAAAGGCGTGTGGGTCTGCTGTGCAGCTTTTGCTGTGGGGCCCTAAACCAGCCTGCTGTGCCCTGATGCATTTGGGTTTCTCAGCTCACCCCAGGGATGCCTTTTAAAAATGATGGCAAATCCTTCCATCAAAGTTAGGATTATTGTGCCAGTGTAACGCTCTAGCACGATCTTCAAGGTTACTAGGTAGTGAAGAGTTTACTGTGCTTTACTTTTTATCTAGCTACCATGGAATTTTTACAAAGCACGCACTGTAGATTTTTTGTTAGAATGCTGGCCAGAATATTTATTTAACATCCATAGATACTTGGCTTGTGGCTCACTGTGAAAGTTCATTGTTTTACAAAGTGTATGGGGGCCGGGGGGTCATTGACATTAGCTTTGTGTTCTGTGGCTAACGATAGTTTCTTGTGGCCTCCAGAAGAGCCTTGCGAGTGCCCGGATGGAGGGTTGGGTGTCATCCCCGTTTTACAGACGGGGAGGGGAGGGACTTGCCTAATGCCCTTGGGCTTCGTCTGGGGTCTGGCAGCTCCCCTTCTTCCTTGTGGTGCTCTTTCCTTTATCTCACACCTTTTATCCATATCACCATCATTCTCTCCGTGGTCTTTCCGCATGGTGACTAATAACAGCAGCACATAGAAACAGCTATCAGGCATCACGTCCCATAAAGTTCCCTAAGCGCCTTGAGTGTCCTAACCCTCACCTCAGTCCATGGTGTAGGTATGATTCTCTTTTTAGAGATGAAGAGACTCAGGCCCCAAAAGGAGCGATGACTTGCCCGAGGTTCATAACACTTAAGTCATAGGGTAATTAAGATTATTAAGTGAAATAATACATGTAAAATTCTAAGTAGGTACTAAGCTCTCAGTAAATGACAGTGGTTATGATGATCATAGGGTGCCTTTACTTATAATTTCTGCTTATATGTCCTGTTGTCGTCGCCGGCCTGTGAGCTCACTGGGGGAAGTGCCGTCTTGCTGGTTGCTGCGGCATGAGGGCCTGTCGCGGTGTTACAGTTGTTGTCGAGTGATCCATTGAATGTATGCCAGGGTTTAGGGTCTGATATCAGTCTGGTTCAGCAGTAATTAACCACATGGCTGATCCGGTCATCGTGCTTATTAACCTATATAGGTTGGTACTATTCTGTACTTGCAGGGGCCTATACCGTGGCTTCCCCATCACACCTGGGGTACAGCCCCACGGGGTGGATGTGTTCTGAGGCGTTGACACCCTTAAAATGTCCTAGAGTTAGAGTGCTTGAAACCAAGCCCTGAACTTTGTACTCTGGAGACCCTTCGGCAGTTAGAACAAGAAAACATGAATTTTCAAGTTGAGATGAAGAGGACATTTCTGAATTTGGCCAAAAGAAGTGGATTAAGAGAAAGCTAAAGATGATGATTTTGCATCAAGGATGTTCTGTTTCCCTGGAGCCGTAGCCAAGGGACTCTTTATAGTAGCCCGCATTTTAAATCCAATTGTAAGAAAAAAGTGACAGGAGTGTAAATGCAGCGGTTTACTATCTTAATTTTTTCCTGTATGAATTTAGGCCTGGCGGATAAGGCCCTTACTGTCAGAGAGGAATGCTTACTCTTTGAGTCAGCTTTCTTCTCCAAAGCAAGGGAGCTCCTGACTGATGGCCGGACTGCGAGTGACCTTCATGGGGATTGAAGCCAAAGGGACACCAAAAGGCTGGCACTGTTTCGATCTTAGGGTCCTTCTTTAGTTTGCCAAGGTCCAGTTTTAAATTGCCCAATTAGCAAGGCTACTTTGAAGAGAGAGGATCAGGAAATTTAGATTCTAATTATGGTTTCAATTCAGCTTGATGTGAGTGGCTTGATTAGCTGGGAGATTAAACCACATTTGGCCTTTGTTTGAGTGACATTAGTTCTTTGGGGAAGGGTAATTGAAAAAATGGCAAAATTCTACCCAGTAAGTAATTTACTCCTGAGCTCTAGGAAGCTGAATTCACCTTTTCCTTTTTCTGGTCTCTAGACTAGAGCTAAGGGTAGTCATAAGGCTCCACCTCTGGTAACAGGGAAGTTTCCAGGTCCTTATTTTTTGTTCTGATGATAGAATACCTGGAAGTCATGTAATTTTAATAGAAAACCATGAAATACTGGTATGTTTAATACTATCTTAGGAAGTAGAAAGGATTTTAGTAACAGAAAATGACCATAGTTTTCTGTGGACAGGCTGGCCAATAACTGTAGTTATTATATGTATGTGATATAAAATCACAGCTTTTGGCTCAGGTTGGGAGGTGGGCTGGGGGGACTAGCTCAGCTAAGCGAGATTGTGTGTGTGTGCCAGTGTCCTGATGCTGCTCTGGCTTCTCTGTTCTGTTATACTTGTTTTTGTAAGGTCCTGGCAGATAAACTGTGGCAGGTAAAATTTGGAGGAAAATCTTAATACTAAGAAAATTCTCCTACCAGTTTAATTTTTTCTGTGAATCAGGAAGAATACATACATTGCCGTATTTTTTGACAGACTATATTTTTCCGATCTTATAGCTTATTTTTTAACCCTGAAAATAATATATGTTCATTGTAAAAAATTCACCCAAGGAAACTTAAAACTTGAAATTACCCCAGGTTCTAAACCCAGAGGTAAAGCTAACATTTTGCTGAATATTATTACATAATTTTTGTATTTTTATAATATATGTCATGTAACACAAGTAACATGGAAAAATGTACACACTAGTTTTTATTTGGTTTTTATATTCCGTATGGAGGCCTTACTGATTTTTGCTTACTCTGGCACTGATTTTATGGGTTTAATTTATTTTTCAGGGTGTCAGTCGATAGCTAGAGAGTATGTTATCTAAGACTCCGTACCTACTTATGTAGAATACTCTAATTTCAGTAAGAAAATGATCCTATAGTGGGGGGGGGGTGGCTTACGCTTGTAATTTGAGCAACTTGGGAGGCTGAAGCAGGAGGATCTCTTGAGGCTAGGAGTCTGAG